TCTAATTTAGACTGCCTTTGGCACTTTCCTAAAGAGACTAGAAAAAGAAATCTAGACTAGTTGTCTCATTTGACTTTGAACTGTGAAATTCCCATGTGGGGACTGAATGCCAATTGAATAAGCTTTTGCCTTACACAGATGTTCCCAGAGACACAGTTCATGTTCCATGTGGAACACATCCAACAAGATAGCCGGAGGAACAGAAGTCTGTGGGGTCCTATTGAGAAGAGGCTCCAGGAAGAGGAAGCAAAGGGCCCCTTGCTGAGGGTGAACTCTGGGCGCCACGACTCTTTGGATGCTTTCGTGCTTTCCTGACTAATGGCGAACATCTGTGCTCTAGTTAGCCGATTATTCAAGAACAAAGCAGTGCGCCCCATCAGTACTCCACATCAAATGTGCTTTGATCAAGGTGCTATGTTAGCTGTCTTGGAACTCCTTGCTCACCTAGGTGTCCCGAGCTGCTGATTAAAACCTGGTAATTGTGACCTAAGTTTGACTTGTGTGAATAAAGTTTGAACTGTTGCTCTGCCAAGGATATAAAGCTGGAACCCTGGGGAAAAAAATGTTGTTACTAGCCACCAGAGCACTCTCCTCCCAGCCACCCCATTTCACTTCAATTGCTTTCCTCCCAGGGACCTGCAAGGTAACCTGCGGTTCCAGACAAGTGTATCTGGGGAGAGAGAGAAGGGAAGTATCACTATATTCTTAGAATTGTACCTATGAAATACAAGAAAAGTTAAGTGCATTTTGAATCATGCAAAGAAGGAACCTTCAAAAAGTTCATAAAGGGTGCGGGCTCTGTGACATCACCAGAAAAGTCACTGTCTGTGACATCAGCATCCCATGTGGGCACTGGTTTGAGTTCTGGCTGCTCAGCTTCCAGTCTTGCTCTCTACTAACAATGGCCAAGTGCTTGGGCACCTGACACTCACATGGGAGACACAGAAGAAGTTCCTGGCTTCAGCCTGTCCCAACCCAGGCTATCGCCGCGATTTAGGCCAAGCCACTGGGCACTAGCATTTGGGCCATCCTCTGCTGCTTTCCCAGGTATAATATCAGGGAATTGACTGTAAGTGGAGCAGCCAGGCCTTGAACCAATACCCATATGGGATGCTCACATCTCAGGGGGCAGCTTAACCTATTATACCACAATGCCAGCCCCTAACCAGAACAACTGTGGGATACTGTCACTGCCTGAAATAAAATTCCCAAAATATACCCTATCTAGTCAAATAGTTCAGAACAAATCAGCCTAAATCCTAAGCTTTAACATAAAAGAGGAGACAATTGTATAATGCACTGATGAATATTTTAATCACCCAGCACTCTGACACCATCACAAGAGACAATACAACGAGTTTCCAAATCTCGCACTGACTTACACTGAGCAGCTGTCTGCTGAAGCACAGTCAGAGCGTGGGCTGATCTGCAGCAAAGCCCGGGAATTTGCAAGAGCAGAAGCATACCTGGCTACTGGACTAAAACCCACCATGTGAACCTGAGGGTTGATGTTCACAGAGAAAACAGGCTGTGGGTCTAGATCCAGATAAAGAGGTTCCTCATTTGCATAAATATTCAAGGGCATACTTGAAAGTCACAGGAAACACTTGAGCTGTGCACCTGGAGCCCCTAAATGCCCACAGCCAACCCCTATCATGGAACCATGTCAATCGTCAAAATGTCTCTTTAAACTCTTAGAAGAAAGTGATATTCTGTTTGGAGACCTGCTGAGTGTGTGCCCAGAAGTTCATTCAACAAGAGATAATAAAGCCAATTTAGAGTTTCTCTTGGCCCTGAAGACAGTATGTGTGGTGTTTCATCTTCACTGATGAACTTGGGGCCTGAGTGTGGCCTGAGGGGGATGGGGGGATGTGGCAAAGAGGCGGTGCTGACCACACTTTCTGCTCGGTGCTGTCCATGTACTAACATGTGCTTTCCTTCCCGGTCACGGTTAAACGGTAGCTTCTTTCAGCCCCACACCACTCCCCTTGCAGTTGGGATGGCTCCATATGACTAAGTTCTGAAGTGCAAAGCGACACTTCAGAGTGACACTGACATTGGCAGGCCCAGCCTCTCCGGCTCATGCTCTCTTCCACCCCAACGAACGAAGTCTCCCATTCTCCCCACAGTGATCGCTGGGGCCTTGAACTGAAGAAACTACAGGATAGGAAAAGCCAAGGCCCGTGCAGAACTGAGTGGCCAGATACTGTCTCCCCTATCACGACTATAATTGAATGGCATGAAGCCATGCAGTGGGTTTGTATGGAGTTGAACCACTAAGATTCAGAGCCATTTACCATGAGAGCAAGAATTTCCTTCGCTAATGCATCCAGAGATGCACGGTGTGACTTTGGACAACTAGGACGAGTCATCCAGAATGCCATCCCTTTACGCAACGCTCCAGCTTCTAAGGAAGAGTGGGTAGAGTGTGTTTTTAAGCAACAAATATTTTCAATAGACCTTTAAAAAAATACAAGCATACAGCAGTACAGAAAAATGTGCTCAATATTATCAGTCATTCCGGAAATGCAAATGAAACCACAGTGACATACTACTTCATACGCACTAAAATGGATTAAGAATGAATTAAAAATAAAAAGTAACAAATGCTGTCATGGATCTGGGGAAGTGGGATCCCTTGTACATTGTTGGTTAAAATGGAGAATGGTTCACTTGCTATGGGAAACCAGCAGGCAGCTCCTCCAAGGATGAAGCCTACAATCACCATATGGCTAATAACTAAATATCCAGATATAAAACAATGGAACAATAAAAGAGGAGATAACTTTATAATACACTGATGAATATGTTAATTACCATAGGGAACCAAGCACACTCTTGTTTGTGGATGTTTGTAACAACACTGTTCCCAATAGCTGGAAGGCAGGCATAACCCAAAGTCCGTAGGGCTATGGATAAACAAGCTGTGACATTTCCATACAGTACAGCATTACTTAGCAATAGAGAGGAATGACAAACACACGGATCTAAAAACGCTTTTCGAAGTGAGAGAAACCATCCCCTAACAGGTTGTCATGTGAGATGTCTAGAGGAGGTAACTCTATAGAGACAAAATGATCAATAGTTAGTAACCAGGACTTTGGAGAGGGGGAGCAAGAAGTGGCTGCTTCATGGGTACAAGATTTTTTTTTAATTTATTTTTATTTTAAAGAGAGTTGGGGGGCGGGGACAGAGAGAGAGAGATCTTCCGTCTCTGGGTCACTCCACAAATGGCTGCTCCTGGGGCTGGGCTACTGCAGCAAGGCCAAGAGCCAGGAGCTTCTTCCAAGTCTCCCACTTGGCTGTAGGGACCCAAGCACCCGGGGCATCTTCCACTGCTTTCCCAGGCACATTACCAGGGAGCTAGATCATAAATGGAGCAGACAGGACTCCAACTGGTGTCCCTTTGGGGTGCTGGAGACATTGGCAGATGCTTAACCTGAACCCTAGAGGTACAAGGATTTCTTTTGGGGAGCTCTAAGTGCCTTAGAGCTAGATGGAGGTAGTGGCAGCATACATGGTGAGTGCACTAAATATCACTGAAATGGGCATCTTATAATGCTGATGCTGAGCTACGTGAACTTCACCTTCAAAAAAAATAATAATAATAATCTCGGGCCCGGCGCGATGGCGTAGTGGTTAAGGTCCTCGCCTAGCACGCCCAGGATCCCATATGGGCGCCGGTTCTAATCCCGGCGGCCCTGCTTCCCTTCCAGCTCCCTGCCTGTGGCCCGGGAAAGCAGTCAAGGACGGCCCAAAGCTTTTGAATCCTGTGCCCATGTGGGAGACCCGGAAGAGGCTCCTGGCTTTGAATCAGCATAGCATCTACCTTGAGCTCATTTGGGGAGTGAATCATTGGACGGGAGATCTTCCTCTCTGTCTCTCCTCTCTGTATATCGCCTTTCCAATAAAAATAAAATAAATCTTTTAAAAAAAATCTCTATGGTGTGTTCGTCCCAGGGCTGTCTGCCCCATGTGTGGCCCAAGGACAGAGCTGACGGAGGCTCTGCCAGGGCTATAAGACCAGTGTGTGCTCAGGATGCACTCCCACACCGATGCGGCTTCCCTATCAATGTTTTTAACTCTGCACCCAGGTCTGTGATGCCTGATGCCAGCAGTGGGCAGAGAAGCCAGGGCAGGAGTGGCATGGAAAGAAAATAAGACTTGGGTAGTGGAAGTGACAATATTCTTACACACCCCACCCTCCACTGTCTGCTTTAGCCCTGGAGTGTCACACTTCGCCCTCTCGGATAAACTTGGGGCTGGCAGTATGGCCACAGGACTGCATAGCCTTCATCCTTGTTGACATTCACCACCTCCCTGGGGTCTTGCCCACAGTCCTGCCCCAGCTCCCTCTGCCCTACAGACTGTTAAACCTCTAAGGTTACTACTCCCAGCTCTTGAACCTGCTTCCCCGCCATCTCGCTTTGTTGGCTCAAGCTGCCCCAACAGGGGCTGAGGTAACACAGCAGGCAAGCGGGGGTAAGGGGGTGCAGAACACCACAGAGCAGGAAAGCAGAACACAGCTGCGTGTGCCCTTCTCTGCCCCTTGGTCACCTCCCCCACTCCCACCTGCGTGTCATAGTTAACTTTCCTTCTTCCCCTCCAAGGAGGGGCAGCGCCAGAGTCTCCAATACCCAGCGAGCTCTGGCGCCCTGTATGCCTTGGCTAATGACTCAAAGAAAAAAACCTCCCAGAGACAGGTCCACCCGCACTCCTGGGGGACCTTCAACATCCCTAGCCTCAGCTGTCACTTGCGGCCACCTCCCTGTCCCGAATACCTCCGAGGGCAGGAAGCAATCGAGCGCATGCACCTGCTGGGTGCAAGTCTGCGGCACCACCTCCTTCCCGGAAAGCAGAAGGTCCGAATTGTTCTTCTGAAACGCAAAAGAGAGAGGGCGAGGGCGGGGACCTCGAGCTCCACAAGCCAGATTCCCGCCCCCTGCCCGCCCCCTGTCCGCCTGGCTCCACTACCCCGTCAGCCCAGTCCTCGGCTCAGCCTGGGTACCGGGTACCCGCCCACCCCATCCCCGGCTGTCTCCCCGGAGCCCGGTGGGGACCAGGTGTCTCCGGAGCGCCAGGATGCAGCCGTGGCTCTGTCTCCTCCTGGTCGCGCAGCTTCTAGGTAAGACAGGGAGACCGGGCGGTGTAGGGCCGTGCGTTTGACACCTGCTGGGAGAAGCGGAAGGTCAGTGCTAGCAAGGCCGGCAAGGGCCTTGAGGGCCCAGAACTCAGTAACCCAGGATCTGTGGAGCCAGGGGCTAGGGCTGCCGACACAGAGAGAGGGAGCAGGAGAGAGGAAAACAAGAGAAGGAAGACCCCAAAGGCCCAAGATCCGCACAAGGAAGTGACCCCAGGAAGATGCCAGCACCCAGACTGCTCCTCTTGCCAGACCCTTCTGGCTGAGTGTCGTGTGGGCACAAGTCTCATTTTGGGGTGGGGGGGGGGGGGAAGTTTGGTTAACATAAGCAGGCACAACTGCCACCAGGTCCCAGACAGCACTGGCAACCCACCTCTTCTTTGACTCCCTGATACCACCACGGTCCCCACAGTTGGAGCGTCATGTGTAGAGTGGTTCCCATGACACATGCCTTAAGGGTGGAACATTGAACTTGGGTATTGAAGCAAGAGTCTGCCAGGAGTCCAGGGTGTCCTTCTGACTACCTTTCAGAAGAACCCCCATTCCCCATAGCACCCTAAGCTGCCCACTAACCTGCGGTTGCTTTGCTGTTATGTCCCCCCCCCCCAACCCCAAAGCCCCAAATTGCAGCTCCCTGCCTCTGACCTGGTGAGCTTACCAAGATCATCAATAGGAACAGGTGCAGGCCACTTGAAGCTACTCCACCTCACCAGGGCCTTCTGGAAACAGCAAGACTCTCAGAACAGAGCAGCTCAGTGGGGTTATTGCTGGGGTGATGCTCCATGGAGTCACTCTGGCCTCTTCTCTGGAGGGTTCGGGCATCAGGGTATTTGCTACTTGCTGTGTGCTTGTGAGTCTGTAACCTCAGTGTCTCAGAGAGCTCCCAATGCATCACCTTGGGGGCTCAAGGTTCAAGTTCGGAGGGCCCATGACCGGCCGTGAAGCTCCATGCACAGAGGCCATGTGAACTTGAGCACTTACTTTCCCTCCCTGAACTCCTGCCTCATAGTGCATCCAATGAGTGTGAAATGGCTTCTGTCCTACAGGTCTAGTGAGGACCAAGCGAGATGAGGCTTGTGCTGTGGCCTGGAGCAGCTCAGCACTTAATAGTGACAACCATTCTTAACTCCCCTCAAAATGGAAAAGCTTGGCTCCATGGAGAAGTAAGGCTGCATTTGGGGGAACAGAGAGAAGGCCCAGCAGTCAGTTGGGGCCTTGCTGCATTTCATTCTCTGTGCAAGTGGAAGCTTTGAGTGGTGTTAGAGAGGGATCAAGTTCAAATTTGTTCCATCAGGGAGCAATGAGGACTAGGGAGCCAGGTAGGATTGTGAACACAGGCTCCTAACTCGGGTAGCCAGTTCCTCCTGGGCATGCCCTCTCTGTCTCTCTCTCTGTCTCTCTGTTTCTCTCTCACACACACACAGCCCTCCTCTGCCTACCCAGGTCTTTGTCCTCTCTGCTTTGTGGTTCCTATCTTGGTCTTCAGGGTCCCTGCTCCCCGGTCCGATGGGGTTTGTTGGAGTCTCGGTAGCCCTGGCCGTGGCCCTGAGGGAGACCAGTTTGGCTTCATTTCTAAGATTTTGTTTACTTCCAGGAACAACACTGAATTGAGAGAGGGCTTTACAGTTGAGAAGTAATGTCTTGGACATCTTTCTGTCTTTTTAAAGGGTTTATATATTGATCAAAGACGCATGTATTAATTTATTTTGAAAGTCAGAGTTACAGAGAGAAAGGGAGAAAGACGGGGAGATTTTTCATCTGCCGGTTCGGATGACCACAGCGGCCAAGGCTGAAGCCAGAAACAAGAGGCTTCATCCAGCTCTCCCATGTTGGTGGTTCAATCACTTGAGCCATCCTCTGCCACTTTTCCCAAGTGTCATTAGCAGATGTTGGAGCAAAAGCAGAGCACCAAAAATACAAATTGGCACCAGTGTGGGATGCTGGCCTCTCACGGGGCAGTTTTACACACTACACTGCAACAATGGCACCAGGATTTGCTTTATTTGAAAGGCAGTTACAGATAGAAATAGAGCTAGAGATAGACATAGGCATAGGGAGAGGGATGGGGAAGAAAGAGACAGAGCATGCAAGAGGAGAGATTTTCCATTTTCTGGTTCATTTTGGGCCAGATCAAAGCCAGGAGCCTGAAACTCCATCTGAGTCTCCCATGTGGGTGCAGGGGCCCAAGCACGTGGGCTATCCTCTGCTGCTTTCCCAAGGACATTCACAGGGAGCTGGATAGGAAGTTGAACAGCTGGGCCTCGAACTGGTGATCGTAGGAGATGCCGGCATTCCAGGCAGCAGAAGAACCCACCACGTAGCACAACACTGACCCCCATTTCTGTCTTTCTAATCCTCTACACCAAGTTGGAGGCTCGGTGACCTGCATGAGGTCCCACAGCTGGTACTGGGCAGAGTCTGGGTTCAAGGCCAGTCTGCCGGTCCTCCTCTAGTTCTCCGCCAACAAGTGCCTGCCTTCAAGGTGCTTTCCTTCAAAGGTTAACATGTATTTCCCATCCCTGGGGAATAGGGTCCAGTGGCTGATCACTGGGCTGAAGAGTGATGAAGTGTGACTATGTCCACCAGGGAATGGTGAGCTTCTTCTACTCTTGGTCCAGGAGCGGTGGTGGGGCCTCTATAAGGGTGACCAAATGGGCCATCTCCCAGCTTGCCTGGCCCTCCCTTAGCATCATACATCTATGGAAAATCTTCACATAGTGTGGTCCTGGGCAAGGTAAAAGGCAACTAGCTTGGGCTTCAAGTTTTAAACGCATACATTTCAATCCTGGGCCTCTCTCTATCTGCAGGTGAAATTCTGAACAAGTGATTAGATACCTCAGTTGCCTCACAATGTAGTAGGGACAAAGAACCTGAAGCCAAGGTCTAGTGTTGCAGTGGATTAAGTTGTCGACTAGAACCCGGAACACCCAAATCCCAGATCAGAGTGCCTATTTGAGTCCCAGCTGCTCTGCTTCCAGTACAGCTCCCTGCTAATGCGGGAAGGCAGCGGGCGATGGCTCGGTACTTGGACCCCTGCCGCCCAAAGCAGAGATCTAGATGCAATTCCAGCTCCTGACATTGGTTTGGGTCAGCCTTGAATTTTTGCGATCATTTGGGGACTGGACCAACAGATAGAAGCTGTTTCTCTAATCTCTCTCATCTCTTTCTCTCTCTCACTTTGCCTTTCAAATAAATAAATAAATACATATATTATTTTTAAAATCCTGATGCCAGGGTAGGTGTTTGGCCTGGTGATTAAGATGCCAATCTTAATCTGGTGGGGTAGCAAATTAAATCTCTACTTATGACACTGGCGTCTCATATCAGAGCACCAGTTCGAGTCCTGACTGCTCCATTTCTGATCCAGTTCCTTAAGGATGTGCCTGGGAAAGCAGCAGAGGGCCCAAGTACTTAGCACCCTGCCACTCCTTTAGGAGACCCAGAAGCAGTTCCAAGCTCTCGGTCTGGCCCAGCCCCAGCAAGAATCAGCATTTGGGAAGTAAACCAGCAGATGAAAATTCTGTTCCATCTGTTTGTGTCTTTGCATCTCTAACATAGTATCATAAAATAAGATAAAATTTAATTTTTTGATTCCTAAGCCAGTTTGAGGTGTGGTTGAAGTAATCTCTGTAACCAGCAAATGACAGCCATCTCTCCTGTCTGGTTGATAAAGCTGTTGCCTTTGATCTCCTAGCAGCTGAGAGAGCCAGGAGCTCTGAATCTAGGAGCCAGCAGCTGCGTTTGACACCATCCCTGGACCTGGTCACTGGGTGTGCTCCGGCACGGTTTCTCCCTGGGTGCTTGATTCAGCAAGGCTTCGAGAGTCTGTAAGTGTGGCCAGGCAACCATGCTGATGCTCTGTTCTTCTGCATCTCCACAGTTGTCCACAGCAGCACAGTCCTCCAGCAGAGCCCCAGTGCCAGCATGGTTCAGACCCACGGAATGGTGACAATGCAGTGCCACTCATCCAACATGCTCATCCACTGGCTGAGACAGCGGCAGGCCCCAAGCGAGGACAGTCACCTTGAGTTCCTGGCCTCCTGGAGTCCCCAAAAAGGGGTTATTCTTGGCACAGGGATAGAAGCGGATAAGCTAACTGTGTGGTGGAAGATGGACCGGTGTTTCCTCAATCTCACAAACGTGAAGCCTGTGGACAGTGGCATCTACTTCTGCATGACCATCGGGTCTCCCAGGCTGACCTTCGGGAAAGGGACTCAGCTGACCGTGGGTAAGAATCGGGCCTGAGGATGCAATGAGAGTTGAGCTCTCACTCTGTGACAGCTCCTGCCCTGCTCCCAGCAAGCCCCACTCTGCTGCCTTGACCGTTAGCACTGCTGTCAATTTTATCCAAAGAGGTATATGAGATTGCCTGCAGGTGGCTTTGCATGCTTATCTCACTAACACTGGTGCCCACTAGGGTAGATGGTGTATGATGATTCCTATTTTAGAAGAGACTCAGAGGAGGTTAAAAAAAAGGGGGGGGAGGGGGTGGTTATTAGAGGAGAGTTCAAGCTAGAGATGAGTGAAGGTAGTGCTGGCCACTGGGTCACATCAGGGCCACTGGAGGTCACAGCTGCCTTGGCCCGAGCCCCGGCCTGACGGTGGTTTCAGAAATCTCTAGAGTGTACGTACAGGGAAAGAGCCTGGAGCTCAAACCCAACCTCTGCCCCCAAGGTTCAGGGAGGGTCTTGATTTTCTCCTCTGCATCATGAGGAAAAAATTTCGACGTCCTAATAGTTGTATTCTAAGAAAGGAGGAAAGGAGTAAGTGAAATGAATTTGTGTAATACATTTTCTACTGGGCCCAGTGTTGTCATTTCAATGTGTGATCCACATGGAGGTCATTACTGGCATACTGATCTTGCCTTCTTAGACTGAGAGCCAGTTGTGTGTGGTGTCTGAGTCCCAACTGGCCACATGGGTCATGCTAGCAATGGCAGGGAACTCACAGCTCCCCTGGTTGGCTATAGCCCCTTGCCTGGTTTACCATCCAGCCCAGGCCAGCTGCCTGCAGACCTCTCTCTCTGCTCCCCAGGAAATAGGCCACTCAGCAAGCAGAGGTGCTTCAGCACTAGTAAGAAGAAAGACCCAGAGCCAGGCCTGTCATCAGCCTGGGCCTTATGCTGGAAGGTGGCAGGTGGGGCTGGGTCTTGACAAGGAGCAGAGAGAGCGCAGGCTATTCATACTAAATCATGCTTTTGGATTTGGGTTTGCAGTCTTGCTCTTGTCACACCTGTGAGCTTGGAGTCTGAGAACAGTGGATGGTAAGATGCACACAGCTGGTTTTTTTCAACTGCATGCCACCATCTCTTCCATCTGCACCACCACCCACTCCTTCCTGGTGTCCATGTTTCCAAATCCAACATGTACCCAGCACCTCCAGATGGGACAGCATTCCTATTCTTTCTTCTCCGAGGGCAGGGTATCCAGAGCCAGAACCCACTAGTCTAACCAGAAAGCTCCTGTATTTAATATGTTCATTTCTTTATTTTCCATTTGAGAGAGAGAATATAAATATCCATCTACTGGTTTGTTCCCCAAATGCACACAACCAGAGCTGAGCCAGGCTGAAGCCAGAAACCTGCATCTCAGTGTAAATCTACCATGGGGTGGCAGAAACCCAAATATTGGAGCTGTCATCTACTTGGGGTATACATTAGCAGGAAACTGGGATCAAGAGTGAAGCCAGGACTAGGTCCCAGAAATGTGCTCAGAGAAGCAATGCAGGCTTCCCAGTTGGAGTTCTCGTCACCATACCACTTGCCCACTGAGGGTCACTTAGTTGTTAGGGGGAGGATGCACAGATGGCACAGAAAGGGGTTTGGAGAAAAGACAGGGTCATTTTCAGATCCCATGGACACAGCATGGGCTCAGGACACCCCTCCCTTGAAAGCAGAGCAGAGACGGAGAGGTTAACCTGGGGTGTCAGGAATCCAGTGGGGGCTGGCTCTGGACAAGAATAAATTAAAACAAACCAAGCCTTTCTTGCCTCCCCCATCAGACCCAGGCCTCTGCACCCCACCAAGGCATTGTGAGTTTGTAAACTGGTGTCCCTCCAAACTTACCTCCCACCCTACTGAGAGACCCCCTGGGTCCTTGAGTAAGAAAAAAGGGAAGAGGAAGATTTCTGACTAGGGTAGGGCAGGGGGACTAATAGAGGTGGTACCCCAATCCCCAAGAGGGACCCCAAGTTCAGCAAAGGGCCAGACTCCTGGTTCCCAGGGCTGCTTGCCACCTGCTGTCATTATCCTTAGGACTCTACTGACCCAGGGCCCTGGTCGATCCAGCGTTTCACTTCCTGGCAGAAAACATCTGTCACCCAGGCAATGCGGCTTCACAATAGCATGGCTTCTAGAAACCCAAGTTTCTTGGTTCCAAATCTGGCTCTGCTGTTCAACAGCCATCTCACTCTGGGCAAGTTATCTCAGTTCTCAGAGGCCAGGCCTCCTCAGGAGTCATTGCAATTTTTCATTGCTTTCTAGAAATGCCACAAAGCAGACAGAGCAGGTGGTGCTCAGAGAGGTAAGGCCCCAAGGGTCCATGTGTACGCAGAAGAGGCCAGGCCTAAAACGATGCCTGTGTTGCCCACCCCTTCTTGTGAAAGTTCATACCAGTCACTGCCCAGGTCCTGTCCTTGTCCGTAATTCTGCAGAAAATCCTCTTAGGAAAGAGTTCTCTCTGCCCCTCACAGAGGCCGGCTCTGCAGCACTCAGCTCTCAGCTGGCTCTCCGCATATGCACATGTCTTCCTCTGCTCTGGGAAGACATCCCATCCTCCCATCGCCCAGTATGGAACCCAAGGTTAGCCGGAGGGAGAGGAGTGGCCCGCCCAGGAGCCAAGAGAAGGGCAGGGATCTCAGCTCAGTGCCTGCATTTCAGGCCCCGGCAGTCAGTTCTTAGCTGTCTCTGGAACTCAAAGGTCCTCCTAGCTCCCCTTTATAAGATTTTTCAAAAAGGCAATTGGTATGGTCTTTTGTAGGTATAAAGGGTACCCACCTCCTTTCTGGAATCTTCTTCCACCTGCTGAGGGGTTGCAAGGTTGACTGAGGTCTTGGGATCAGAATGGCTTCAGCTTGTGGGGGCGTCTTCAGCCAGAGGGAGCTACGCTTATCACACACTTTGCTGGACACACTATCCCATTTAATTCTCACACACACATCCTGGGAAGGAGCAGGGAGTCATTTTTATTTCAGCAGGTAGGGAAGCAAAGGCCAAGTGTGATGATTAGCCCCAGTCACACTGTGAGTGGCTAATCAGGCAGCTGGGCTCTGGTCAGGGCTGCTGGCTCCCAAGATGTTCTTTCGATGGAACGTCAAGTTGACCCCATCCTTAGGGCACATCAGAGAGTTGAGGAAGATCAGAAATTCTCCCACTCCATGACTTGCAAGCAGTGCGGCTGTAAGGTCAGCAGTGCGGCTGTAAGGTCAGCAGTGCCTGGCTGTTAGATGCACCGTTCTGGGTTGGTCTCTGAGTCCACCGCTGCCCACCTGACTGAGGGCTGCGTTCTGCTTTCTCTCTGTAGTTGACATGCTTCCCACCACTGCTCAGCCCACCAAGAAGTCCACTCCTAAGAAGAGAGTGTGCCGGATCCCCAAGCCAGTGATCCAGAAGGGTGAGTTCTCTCATTTCCCTGTACCCCTAGGTGCAAGACAAACACCTTCTTCCCCCTGCCTCCCCACCCACTCTTCCTTCCTTCCATCAGCATTTACCAAGTATTGGCCCTGTAGCCTACTTCTGCAACCCGAGCTGGGGCCAGAAGAGCCACGGAGCAGGCTGGCTGTTTATGGTCTAGAGCGCGAGAGAGACTTACAACTGCTCACAAGAGCAGGCTTAGTGGACACCATGGCCACCCAGCATTCACACATAAATGTTCACAGCTGTCTTACTCATGGTTGCCAGAGCCTAGAGGAATGGGGACGGGAGTAGGGAGTGACTCCTAACATGTATAGGGGTTATTTGCGTAGGGAAGGGTGGACATGGTCTATAGTCAGATTTGGTGATGCTTGCACAACCCTTTTCATGCACTAATCATGAATATGCCTTTTTAAATTTATGTTCATTTAGTTGAAAGACAGATGTTCTCCAAATGCCTGGGGGCTGGCAGGAAGCTAGAAGGAAAAGCTGGAGCCATCCCTCAAACACAGGCACTCTGAGGTTGGACACTGGAGTCTTAAATGGTTCCTTAGCTACCAAACCACACGTCTACCCCCAAATGGGGCATTCTAATCAGATGGACTCTATGATGTGTAACTTACATTTCAACAACATGTACAGGGAAATTTTTTTCCTTGCTGTGAAGCAAGGAAAAAAAAAGTACAAAGACCAGCACATTGAATCGCTCCTGTTTTGGTAACCAATAGAAGTGCTCTCACAGACTAGGGACTTCATGTCTATTTGTTCATGAATCCAAAAGCTTATTGGGAGCTACAGCACCAGGCATCTCAGCCAAAGTTGGCACACGCACATGTACCCACACGTGTGCACACACACATATGTACCCACACGTGTGCACACGTGTACCTGCATCCACACAGATGCATACACCTGCACAGGTATACACAGACACACTCACACTTTCCTTGACCCCCATCAGCCCACATATGTTTCTGGAAAAATACTGATGGCAGCCCTCGCAAAATTTCCCGATGACAGAGTACCATCTACTATCACCCAGAAGAGAAACCACAGGCGGTCCCACTAGGACTGCCTGGGGCTTGGGTTGCCGCATATTAAGGATCCTGAGTCCCAGACAGCATCTGAGGTGAGGCACCCAATAGACAGTCAGTAGTCACATGGGGAGCTGCCGCAGAGGCAAAGAACTGGAGAACCCCGGGATAGGGGACAGAGTCTCTGGGAACAGCAAGATGAGGACAGAGGAGCTTGTGTGATAAAGTGCCAGAATACATTTATAAGTTTCTGGAGAATAGAATGGAGAGTTAAGTTTATGGGGGTGCAAAAAAATACAAGGGCTCTTCAGAAAGTCACACAAAAAAAATGTGTCTCGTGAACTGTTCATGGATAAGCCTTTCAAATTAAGGAATACATGGGCAAAGTGTAAGGTTTTGTGATTCCATGTTCAGTGTGAGCCTCAGGGAGGCACCTGTGTAAGACACATACCTCAATGTTCTCAGCAGTTATTTGTATAACACAAGGAACAACCAAAATGTTCACCAATGGCTAAATAATCCCAGCAGTGTGTGTTGTGTCTGAATCTACACTTTTGGGAAGAAAGAATATGTGACATGGTTGCATGGGGGGAAAAGCAGATGTAGAGCCACTCACTGAGTTAAAGACATCTGTGCATCTGCGGAGTTTGTACCTACGTAACTGCAGAGAAAAAGGTTGTAGATAATAGCAGTGTTACTTCTGAAAGGAGCACAAAGGGCATTGGACCCTCTAACCATATATTAAAATATCTCATAATGAAAGTATATTCAGCTATTTCTTGGGAAATTAAAAAAATGAATAATAAAAATCCCTATTCCCAGGCATGAATATCGTTTACCTCCTTGGAGCTTAAATTGCTCCTGAATTTAATCAAGGTTCAAAGACTATTGGTGTATTACATGGAATTTTAGAAGTCCAGTGAACTCTGATGTGTGAGGCAAACACAATGGAAGGCAGTGGAGTTGGTCCTCCCTACAAGCTGGGTCCACCTCCTTCAGACGGAAGGCACTTGGAGCCAAATGTGCCATGTTGCCTCCATGTACGATGCAGGAGGCCTCCCATGGCTGCATCTGTCCCAGTCGGGTACAGACATCGTTCTTGTCATTATTCCCTGAGTAGCCTTCCATCTATTGACAAGCATCGACATTCTGTTAGGTAGAAAGTCTAATGTAGAGAGGAACCACACAGGAAGGTGTGTGTAAATTAGATGCCAACGCCGTGCCTTTTATAAAAGGGACTCGGGCTCCAAGGATTTTAGCATCCAAGGAGGGGGAAGGGATCTCTGAGGACCCTGAGGATACAAATGGTGGCACTCCTGGGCAGTGGGCCTCAGGTCCCTGCTTGAATTTCGCTGCATGGCTCACGTTCAAGGTCAAGAACATGTCATGTGTTTCTCTTCCAGGTTTGCCCTGTGGTCCCCTCATCCTTGGCCTGCTGGTGGCCGGCGTCTTGCTGCTGCTGCTGTCCCTGAGTGTGGCCCTCCACCGGCATTGTAAGTTGTCACCTCTTAGTGCCCTGTTTAGCGTTGGATGTGTCCCCGGGACACTTTGTTCTCTAAGGAAGCAGAGCAACTGGGAGTCTGCTGAGAATTTGTCCTAGGGAAAACAAAACAAAACAAAACACAAAAAGAAAAACAGAAAAAACTACATTGGTTCCCAAGGTGACTCTTGGCTCGCAGGGACTTCTTCTTCTCTTCTCTGGAGCCAGACAATCCGGTTACATCCAATACTGCCTCTCTGAGCCTCCACTGCCTCCCAGGCTGCTCTTTGTAAAGTCCCACCCAGAGAGCCCAACACATAGCACATACCCAATAGAAGGTAAAACACTCAGCGTGAGCATTGGGCACCACAGCCCAGAACCCAGAAGCGATTGCAGGGGCTGAGGCACAGCTGGGGAGGGGCTGTGGAGCATCCATCCCGGGAAGCTAGAAATCCTCCTCTTGATGAGCTGTAGGGTACCGGGAACGGCTGCTGCCCTTGGCCACTCAGATCTCCTTTCCATCACAGTCTGAATGGCACTGGGTTTGTGATAAAGACAAGGCCAGGAGCCAGGGCCCCACTACCACTCCGACTCCTCTCCTGGCTTTGTACCACCCGGAGCATGAGTTGGGTGTCCTCTCCATGCCTCTGGAGAGGCAGCAGGAATCAGTGACTGCTAACTCGTACAGGTCACCGGCCCTCTTAAAATTGCTGCTGGCAGTTGGGAATTCGGTCCCCAGAGAAATGCACCTGTGTGTGCACCCACGATCACCCCGCACCAGGGAGTCTACCCCTCTTGTAAAGAGCCCATTTAAGTTTGGTGGGCTCTAAGCTTTCAGATCAAGGACATCAGCAGGATAACATTTAAAACTTGTGGATACTGCACTGCACTTAGCTGTATTTATTCAACGTATCATGGATTTCTTGAATGGACTCCAAAGATGAAAACATCGCCAAAGGTGAGATAAAAGTGTCAGTGGATCCGCTTGTATTTCCTCCCTACACCCCAGCGGCCGACTTTGCTCTCCCTGTGAGCATGCCCGAGACTGCCCATCTGCTCTGGCCTCCTATTTCTTTAAGGAAAAAAAAATTATTTATTCAAAAGGCAGAGTGACACAGAGAGGAGAGAGACAGGCAGGGAGGGAAGAGAGCTAGAAAGATCGTAAACCCACTGGTTTACTCCCCAGACGGCCATAACTGCCAGGAGCAAGCCAGACCCAGGCTAGGGGCCGGGAACTCCACTAGACTGGACTGGAAGTAGAGCAGCCACAATGACTAGTCCCTCCACTCTCATTCCTGACCTTCTGGGAAGAACAAGAGAGCAAGCTTACAGACACACACTGGAGGAGACAAGCTGTGTTTTCACACTGACTTCTTTGCTTTGGAGTTACGTGACCTGGGATGAGCAACTCAGCGATTCACACCCGCTCCCGGTGCCTCAGTTACCCCATTTATAACACAGAGATCATAGTCCTGTCCGACTCACAGGTTCACGGTGAGCATATAGGAGATTAAGACATGAGAAGTGGTTAGGGCAGTGTCTGGCACCGGGGAAGAGACCCGGGGTGCTGGTTGCGCCTTTCTCCTCCCTCTCCTGCTCCTTCTCTGGGCCTTGACCCCCCGGGGCCCGCAGCTCCTGCTGACTGCCTGCCCTTGCTTTCCTTTTGCAGGCCTGCAGAGGAGAGCCCGGCTGCACTTCATGAAACAGTAAGTGTGGAGCTCTGGGGAACACTGTGAGGCTGCCCTGTGAGTTCTGGGTGCTGAGCCTCTGCTGCCACTCCCAGCCCTCAACTGAAGCAAGCAGCCTGCAGCAAGTCAGATATCACCTTCAAAAATCAAGGACTGTATGAGGGATGGGTTACAGAGTGCAAGCAAATGCAACCTTCCCAGACAGACAGGCCTGCTAACCATTGAAGTGTGTCTTACGTGCACGATATTTCACTCTGAGCGAGTGAGCTTTCCAGAGGACAGCAGTCAACCCCGTACAGATAGAGAGCACCACGGAGGGTCTCCGAGCTGTTTCCATTGGCCTGATCCTGCATGAGGTGGGGAAGGGTCGTTTGGATCAGAGGAGAGGCAAGTGGAGTAACCCAAGGCCAGCCTTCTCCACTAGCAATTGGGTTATCTCTGTCCCACCTCCCCTGGACCTGGGTCCCAGGAGTTGGCAAACGCACGGGCTGCATCTCACAGCACAGAAGCTAATGAGCTGGGTACTCTCAGGTCAAGGCCAACGATAGGCTGATGGCCTCCTAAGCCTCTGGCTGCTCCTGAACCCGTGTCTGTGTCCCCACTCACTACACTTGATCCATCAGATCAGCACTCTTTGTGCAGAAGTGTTTGGGGGGACAGGGAGAAGGACACAGCTCAAAGGCAAAGGGGATCCCAGATCATAGTAGGCCCATCTGGAATTGAATCTGGGACTTCTCAGAGTCAGGAAACATAGGGGAGGGGGTTGGGGTACTGATGAGGAAACCCTGAGCCACCTTTCCTTTTGCTCTGTTCATCCCAGGCAGCAATGCTCTTGTCTTTTGTCTGGGTTTGCATTCACCTGTAAGTCATCATTTGAACAAAGGGGTTTGTGGCCAAAGAAAGAAAGAAAGAAAGAAAAGTTGAAAACCACTATGCTGTTGCTCTCACGGTCCAGGTAGGGCAAAACTCGGTGCACCTGGCCTGGAGCCGTACTTAGAAAACTATTCTTCAGCAGGCAGTTTGAGGGGGGAGGCTTGTGTGCATTTAGTCCTCTTAGAAAGCCCAGCAGGAAGTAACATCGTTCAAAGCTAGAGGTTGAAGCTAAAGTTCTTCAGGTTACTTTTTTACAAGCTTTTTTTTAATTAAAAAAGGACAAAGATAGCCCCTAAAAACACAGCCAGGGCCCCAGGCTACTTAGGAGAGCCCCATATGGTTGTACTTCTCTCTTGTAGAAAATTCAATATTGTGTGCCCCAAAAATAAGCAATTTCACGATTATTTTTTCAGGTTTTACAAATGAGCAGAGACTCCTGCTACAAAAGAGTATCGATCTATAAAAAGACAAGAACGGGAACCAAGACGGGACACGTTCCGCCATGGTGCTGTCATGCACCTGCTGCGGTCCCCTACCTGCTTGTAACTGCTGCCGATTCTGTCTGCCGACCTCCCGCAAGCCAGCGAGGCTTCACTTAGACTTGGGGAATCTGAGGGAGGAAACCCACAGAGCCCCCACAGGGCCCTTTCCAGAGGCTGCTGGAGAACAGAGTCAGAAATGCCCCCCAAGACACCAGGACTGCTTCCTGTCCCCTCCCTGGGCTGAGTGCGGACCTTGGTGGGTTACTGTCCAGCTGCCATCTTTGCCTATTGCGTGGCTCAGAGAGGGTGTGACATTGGTTCCTCTAACCTGGAGGGGACTTGGGCCAGGCTGGGACCGACTATGTCCACAAGATTGTCCCCCTCCCAGCTGCTCTGCCCTCTGCGTCCAGGAACATGCTGGGATTGGAGGGACAGAGTTCAGTTTGTCTCCCCTTGGGACACTTCTCCATTTTGCTCCTGCCCTCTCAGGACTTGTCGGCCTCACATTTTCTGTTCTCTCAATGAAAGTGCTCCTGGCTGCAAAAATAAAGTTATGGATTAAAACTTCACCTTGCTCTTGTGACATCACAAGCATGAAAACCCAAGCACAGTCAAGAAGTTGGTGCTCAGGGAACAGAAAGAGCAAGGGCAAAGAGTGAGCATTCTCTCTGGGTTTCTCCCTCATAGCACTGTATGCCTGGGGCCAAACCTGGCAGAGCCACAAGAACTCTAGCTGCTTTGCACCAAAGAGAAAGTCAAGGCCGTGGGGCTCTCCATCCATTTGGTTCCTTATCGCCTCTCAGCCACTGTAATAAGTGAAGAAAAACAGAAGCAAATGCAGGCCTGGAGCGTGTTTGGGAGGAAAGGGTGGACAGAAGGACCACGTGCCCCTAAGTCTCTGCTCAGCATCCAGCAGGGGTATCAGCAGCCTGAGGCTGTGTTCCTCTGGGGGCACTGTGCCCCGGGCAAGTAAGGGAGAATTAAGCCCCTGCTGCTCTTCCTAGCCAGCTCAGAGCAGGGTCCTTGCAAAAACAGTTGTGTCCAGAGGCCTCTGCAGACCACAGGAAATGGGCAGTGTGGCCAGCTCCTGGCACCTGGGTGTGATGGATGGCATCTAGAAGGGCACAGATGGCTCAAGAAAAGAAGTGCTTGCTAACAATCTACCCTGAAGGCCAGGAACTGGCTCTTAAGGGTGGGAATGACAAAAATCCAGTGGGCTAGCCCGGCCTTCCCCAGGTTTCTTTATTAAAGCCACTCCAAGCCACTCCATCCTGTGCAAATGCAAAGAGACAAAGGTCTTCGCAGTCCCTCACACCCAGGCCGCAGCGGAAGCCAGCACAGGCCTCAAGGCCCGATCCACAGCTCAGGCTGTGACACCTGACTGTCCCTGCTGCTGTCTTTGCATCTGCATTTGCTTGTTTACAAGTTTGCATGGGGCTGGGTTGCGGGCACGGGTGGCTTGTGTTCCGGGGCCTATTTTCTGTGCCGCAGGCACCTGTTGCGGCCCCCTCAACTACCCAAGCAGTTGGGGGAGGGAGCCAGATCAGCCTCTGCTACCAACAGCAGGGGCTGCAGTAAGGAGGTAGGTCTACACTGCATATCTGACTTTGGTTTTAAAGGAGAAACTGAGCTTTTACCACCTTCCAAAGAGCTATTATGAAAAAAACTGGGGCCATAACTTATGTTTCTAATTAACAATTCTACTCAAAGGTATTTTTCCTAAAGGAACCCATCAATAAGTGATATTGATAAAGAAATATGCATGAAAATGTTCCATGGAGTGCTGCTTATTAGCCAAAAACTGGAAGCAACCCAATGTCCATTAAAAGGGACCACGTGTCACATAAATGATGATGAAGTCTGCACGAGTCCCTGGGTTAAGAGCTACATCCATGTATACTGAGGTCAAATGACCATCAGTGCACATGCCTGTATTTTGGCAACACCTATATAGATTATTCCACTTTTTCTCACGTTTTTCTGACTTTTTAAAACTTATTTGAAAGGCAGACAGAGACAGGCGGCTCCTATCTGCTGCCTCACATCTCAGTAAACGCAAGGGCCGGACAAAGCTGAACCCAGAGTTTGGCTCTCAGTCCAGATCGCACATGTGGGTGGTAGGGATTCATGGACTTGAGCATCATCTGCTGCCTCCCAGGTTGTGCACAAGCAGCAAACTGGAATTGAAATCAGGAATTAAAACCAGGCACTTGGTTCACACGGGATATGATGTTCCACGCAGTCTCAACTCTAAATGGCCAAATGCCCATCCTCTAATTTTCGTTTTAACGTAGCACTGATTCACTGCTAGAATCCAAGTACAGAGGAAATCAGGGAGACAGGCCAAGCTGTCAGAGGCCAGGAGGTGGCTCTCCCAGGTGCAGGGACTCTTGGAAAAGGCAGAGGTCAGGGCAGTGTGGGGTGGGGGGAAAGTTGTCACATGCTTTGTTCCTCCATCTGGGAGATTGTAACATAAAGTATGCTTGCTTTGCAAAAGGTCATTGAGCTGTGTGTCCATTTCCATGTCTAAATATAAAAAGAGATTCTATTTCAAATTAAAAAACATCACAGAAACATGTAAAATCAGTATTTGCGAGCTGCTAGTTCTTCCAGATTTTTTTCTGCATGCACTTTTTCAAACAGCAAAGTTAAAGTTTGCAATCCAGAATGTAACATAGTTACAATATATAAGATATAAAGCACAGGACATTTCAATGCTTGGCAAGTTTGATCTTTTATTCTTTAATAATATGCTCAGGCCTCTGGGTAGTTCTGTTTGTGTATGTACTAAAAAAACATCTTTAAAGATTTACTCCCAGCTGTTTATGGCAGTCACTGAGGGGGAAATTTCCATGTTTGCTTTTGTACACTTCTACATTATGTAAGCATTTGCAACAATTATAAATGGCTTTTGTTGTGGGAGAGGAAAAAAAATTATTAGACGTTTTAGAAGAAAGAAACAGTTTTGAAAGGTTCATTGTTGCAGTGAAACATTGGACTCAGCTATCCACAAATCAGAAATTTATTCATGAGTTATGACTTTAAAAAATTATACTGTCAAAGTCATTGAAGCACATGTCTGAGCAGCCAGACACAGCAGGCCCAGCTCTCTCCCAGCTGTGTGACCTTGCACCAGCTCTGGAAGCACCAAGAGCCTCCATCCCCTCCTCTGAAACAAGCCTGAACGTGCCTTGGTGAGGGCCTTAGAGGAGCGGTGAGAGGCAGGGTCTGGGAACCGGGCTGGAGTCCTCGGCCCCTCCCCCACCCAGGTGGGAGGCAGCCTGCAGGTGTGCCCCCTCTGCCCTAGGCCTGTTCAAAGGGAGATGGGGGCTGGGACACCAGCCCTGCCTTTCATCCTGACTGTGGCCCACCCCCAACCCCCAGCCTTGTTTCTGCCTGAAGGAAGTGGGCAACTTGTTTTCACATCGTGATCCCCTGCCGGCCCTGCGTGGGCTGCAGCCCCGATCCGAATCTACACCCAGTCAAAGGGAAAGAGAGAAAGGGCTCAGGCTTTCCACGCCGGGGACACAGGAGACTTCCTCTGCCACCTCTTGGGAAACCTCCTCTCTGCGTCACTATCTCTCCTAGGGAAACCTGAGTCACCGTTTCCTGGAGTCCTCCCAGCCACAGAGCGCAGCGCACCGATGGCACAGCCGCACGGGAACCCTGTTTCCCAGACCCTCAGACTTGGGGGTCCCGGGGACAGCGTGACACGTGTGGGTCTCACTGCGGGGAGGACAAAGGTGCTGACAAAGGCGCCAGCAACCATGAGAGGCAGGGCGGATCAGGGTCATCTCCTAAGCCTAGTCTCTCCTATCAGGTCCCTGCCTTTCAATGCAAGTCCTTCTTAATGTTCAGCAGGCACTTCTAAACCTGAAGACCAGCTCTCAGCACAGATGTGGCTAGGCACTTAATTCTCCTGCCCTCAGCATTTTTCCTCCACTAGAGATCTATTTGTTTATTTAGAAGGCAGAGTTAAAGAGAGAGAGAGAAAGAGAGAGAGAGTCTTCCATCTCTGGTTCACTCTCTAAATGAAAACAGTGGCTGGGACTCACTCAGCCCCAAGTTAGGAGCCAAAACTCTATCTGGGTCTTCTATGTGGATCCAGGGGTTCAAGCACTTGGGCTATTTTCCACTGCTTTCTCAGACACATTAGCAGGAAGTTGGATCAGAAGCAGAGCAGTAGCCAGGACTTGCACCAGCGCTCACATGGGGTGCAAGTGCTTCCGGTGGGAGTTACCCTGCTGTACCACATGCAGGACCCTGGGCCTTAGCTTTCTGATGCCACTTCAGATAGATTTTCTGGGAACAACTTCTGTGTGCTTGGCAAGGCTCCTGCTGGAACTAGTGCTGCATCCAGAGCCAGACAGAAAACAGGCAAGAGGCAGAGAAATGCCCGGATGAGGCAAAACCAGGGCAGAAGGCATGAACCACAGAGAAAAGTTCTGAACCTCTCACAGTAGGTTTCGTGGAGGTCGCTGTGGTTGGGTGGGGATGAAGTTATGAGAGGAGTGTTTGTGGTGGGGTTTGCTGGGAGGGTAGAGGCCCACAGTATCCTGTGGGCCCAATGCCGGCTGCTGGGCTACACCTGCTGGCTGGGCTGGGCTGGGCCAGGCGTAAGGGAGGCCAGGTCACCTCCCCTCTATCTGCTCTCCTGCTCCAGGCTTCAGCTCAGCCTGGGGGACATGGGGAGGGGGAACAACGTGCAGCACGAAGGGCAGGTCTGGGTGAGATTGCAAAGCAAGAGGAGATGGAGTTGGGGTTGTCCTTTCCTTGTGTCCAGCCCCTACTCTGCAGTTACACTAATGCTCCTGGTTCACGCATAGGGAGACAGGAAGGACGGCTTCCACAAAGCCGGCAGAGCTCCAGTAGAAGTCTTTTGGCAGATTACATCCAGCCACCCCCACCCTCCAAAAAAAAGTTCCTACATCTGTTGGCTGCCTTGTGGTGTGGGTGCTGGATCACCTGGTCATCTGTCAGGAAGTCTGCTGGCCTTGGAGGCATGTGGGGGAGCTTGCCGTGACGTGAGGGACTCGTGCAGTCAGGTTTTATTGATGTCATTTCAGAGGAAGGGCAAATCTGTGTGCACTCAGGCAAGTCTGGTGACTCAAGAGCATTTTTACCTTATGATGGATTTATTGTGAACCGAGGAGCATCAGTACTGTTAGGGAGGAAAAACAGGATGCAGGGAGAGTAGAGAGCCATAGATGATGGGCGTGAGACATGCACCCAGCAGCGTTCAGCATTCATCATCGCGCGAGCAGGCTCGTTCGCTGCTGCGTTCACATCTGATATGACTAGGTCATTCTACTCAGTTGATATGACATCTCACATTCTGTTTCTCCCTGTACAAATCACGCAAGGTGATCTGTTTTCTCCTCTGTGATTCACCTAAGGGTTACAATTTGCCATCCTGGATAGAATATGCTGCCTGGCTATGGCTGCAGGGCACAAAGACCCTAGGGCTGTGAAGTTTGTGCTTCGATGAGAGAGTACAGTTAAAATCCTTACCACAACACACACACACACACACACACACACACACACACACTTTTTTTTTAACAGAAAT